GTATTTACCTTTGCTGCAGACACAACTATGAATGTGGTGGAGTTTACAGGTGGGCAAAATGATGAAAACTTCCTAGATATTATCAAATATCTTAAGGTAATGAGTTGCTGAATCTGGGGGCTCAGGACCATAGTCTCAGTGGACACCATGGTCACTTGGCATAACATAGTCCACGAAGACAATGTTCTGCATCCTACTTTGGTGAGTGGTGACTGGGAATTTAAAAGCTCATGATCATGCAACTAAGGTGCAACTGTTTGTCTTTCCCTGTTTGAAGGAAAGATGAGTGCTGAAAGTTGTCTGAAGGAAAGAAGAGTGAAGAAAATTGAAGATGCTTGCAAACAATTAGTTCAATGAACTAACCTACCACATAAACATCAGTCTCCACAACCCTGAGACCAGAACTAGTGGTGCTTGTTGCAACTTGGAAAGGGAATATATTCAAAGGCCCTGGATAGAGTAGGAGCAAATGTAGAGCAAAACTCAAAATCATGTGTTTCTTGCTTCCATTCCTCCTTCTTCCCCAGCCCTTCTGAATTTTGAACTTGAGTAAATATTGCCATTTTTTGTCTTGAATGATTGACCATTCTATGGTTTGCATACCTCACTAGTGATGCTGTACCCCTTATATATGTATCTATCATTTGGCTGAAAAATGAGCAACAAGAAGTGAGTTCAGTTTTAGACCTGAATGGGGACCAAGCACCATCGTTGAAGGGTTCCACCTGTCTCCATCTGATCAGTAAACTTATTTTCAATTACTTCATCCTTGAAAAAGCTGGATAAGAAATAATGAAAACTGAAGAAGAACTGATGCTCTTGAATTAAGGAGTTGGTGAAGAATTAAAAATATCAACTGCTAGAAGAATGAACACATCTGTGTTGGAAGAAGTATAGACAGAATGCTCCTTATAAGTGAGGATGGCAAGACTTTGTCCCAAGTACTTTGAACATATTATCAGGAGGAACCAGTCTCTGTAGAAGGACATCGTGCCTGGTAAAGTAGAGGGACATCAAAAATAAGGACTTCCAATGAGATGGATTAACACGGGCTGCAAGGTGTGTCCAAACATAGCAACATTTGTGAGCATGGCACAAGACCAGGCAGTGTTTCATTCTGTTGTATATGGGTAGGGTCATTATGAGTAAGAGCTGACTTAGTGGAACCTAACAACAACCAGGTCTTTTCCAAAGTTCGCATTCTAGTAAGGTAGCTAGGGGACTCCTGGTAGCACAGTAGTTAAAAACTCAGTTGTTAACTGAAAGGTCAGCAATTGAACCTACCAGCCACTCCGTGAGAGAAAGATGAGGCCTGTTTCTGTAAAGATTTATAAGCTTGAAAACCATATAGGACAGTTCTGCTCTGTCCTATTGGGTTGCTATGAGTATGAATTGACTCCATGCTAGTGGGTAAATGTAGCTAGTTTTTTTAGAGCAGGACTACCGTTATGTTATTTGCTAAAGACTCTCATTAGACTGTTATGAGTATATTGGAGCACATATTTTCATATCTGAATCTTTTTTACATATTTACTTATCAACCATGTTATGATTCCTGCTGTCAATGTGTGTGACCTTCTGCAGTACCTCTTTCCAGGAGGATTAAAAAGGCAGTGCAGCTATTAGTGAGTGACCCGTGAGGTCAGAAACCATTAACTGTGGTCTGAGAATTTTACACTCAGTTGCCAGGTTCTAGAAGTCAGTTGAAGAACTGCAGCCTAAATCCTAGAGCTCAGGTATACATTTTCCTACCTGAACATGAGATACACCAATGATAGTTTTCCCTAGCCTAGTATCAACTTGAGATATTCATTTTCTCTGAGCTTTTTGAAGACAAGGATTGTGTCTTTCATATATATATGTGTGTACCAAATCCTAGCACATTATAGGAACTCAATAAATGTTTGTTAAAACAAAGAATAAACTCAATTGGGTCTTTCTAAAGCAGAGTCTGTATTTTAAGCTATCAGTTCAAAGGTTTTCTATGTTTATGCTGATGATACTGAAGAAATGTATTTTTCAAATGCTAAAAATTGCTTTCGTATAATAATAATAAAAACTTACCAAAGTCCCCCAGTTCAATACTGAGCATTTAAATATTTCTTCCTGCTAGGTAAAAGAATTGGTCACATAACCTGAATTTGATGGAAAGAAACATGAATGAGAAAAACCCAAACCAGACAACACACCAGTTACTTTTTCCCTACTTGATCAGTAGAATTGTTGTTGTTAGGTGCCACTGGGTTGGTTCTGACTCAAAACAATCCTATGCCCAACAGAACAAAACACTGTCTGGTGCTGTACCATGCTCACAACCACTGTGCCAATCCATCTTACTGAGGGTCTTCCTCCTTTTCACTCTAAGTATGATGTCCTTCTCCACGAACTGGTCCTTCCTGATAACATGTCCAAAGTACGTGAGACAAAGTCTCATCTTCCTGTATTTATTTATTTTAGAGGAAAAGGTAGTGAAATAAATTGTCCTTTGTGACAGAGGCAGCAAATGAGAGATCTCCAAGTTGATATTCTCAAGGCCATGCTCTTATTACAGAACCAGGCTGCCTCCAGGCTTTCTGATTTATGCTTCCTAATGTCTCTTTTCCTTGTTTGCTGTGGGGGTTTGGACATTTTCTCATGTGAATGAACCTGGTTCATCCCACTAACAGGGAAGAGGGAGCATAATCCTCTGACAGGGTGCTGCGCAAATACGCCAAATCAGGCTTGTCCCTGACTGAGGTAGCTGGACTGTACTTTGCCCTAATGAATCAGCTCCATGGAGGCCTGGCAGTTGCAAAGGTAACTCACTGACTGTAAATTTGAGGGCCAGGTAAGTCTTAGATGTGGCACCTGGACTTTGACAGTTTCCAGAGGAGGAGAGGAGGCTTTCTTGGGCCAGGTCCCTGGAGCTGCGCTGGAGGAAGTTGGGGAGCCATCAGAACAGGTGTGTGAGAATGCTAGGTTCCTTGCTTTCTTTCTTTTCACTGTGCTCACTTTACTGTCAGATAAGGAAAGACAACATTGCTTTTCTTGGGAATAAGGAAAAGTCATGTATCTGAATGTGTGAGGGTGATTTGTCACTGTAGATGTAATTCCTTCATTTTGAGAATCTTGTGTTTTTGTTTGGTGTCTAACTTATTGGAGCTGATGATATGTGGCAACAAATGATGTGATTTAAGCCAAGAGATTGGGTGTTGTGCCTTTGCAACTGGGGAAAGGGCTATGTAGTCAAGTACCTGGGGACAAGGTGAATGGGACATTCTTCTTATTGCTCTTAAACCCAAACCAAACCCATTAATTCAGACTCATGTTAGCCCCATATGTTACAGAGTAGAACTGCTTTTCTTGGTTGTAGTCTTTTGTAAGCAGTTCGTCCGGATTTTCTTCTGCAGAGTGGTTGGATGGGTTCAAATGCATAACCTTTAGTTTAGCAGCTGATTGCAAACCACTTGCACCACCCTTGTTGCTCTTACTTGTGTCTAAATGGCATTGAGGTCCAAGTGCCTTCAGGAATGATCTTTCACTTGTCTAGGGCACTGGGCCTTTCGGGGCTTTTATTGTAGGTCGCTTTTATTGCCCTTAACTTTTTCAAGGAAGCGGACTGACATGGGAAGAAAGGCATATGCTCCTCTGTACCTTGCTCTACTTGTATGCTCTGATCAGGAACTGCTGTCTCACTGCCCTTGGCCCATGGCTGTGGGCCCTGACTCCACAGCATGGGGCAGAGTAAAACACCGGGGTTTCAACACACACCCTTTTGACCTTTTGTTCTGATAGGAATTTTTATACTGGGCTGAGAGTTTTAGTAACGGGAGCAAATGAACAGGATCAGTCAAATTCTTAATTTTGTAATCTGTAAGAGTTCCCAAGGGAGACATGCTCCAGATACAAAGGTATCCCAAACCATGAGGAAGATCTGAGGTGCACTTTTCCTTTGGAGGCTGCTGGATGGATGCATGTGTTCTTCTGTGATTCTGAGATGAACGGAGCCACTTAGATGATAATTATCCATTTGGAGTTATTTTTTATTTGGGGGAGTGAGTGGAGGGGAATTAGCTTGATGTGCAGGAGATTCTCCAGGTTTTAGAATCTCCAGTTAAGAAGTAGTATTGAACAAACAATTCCAAAGTTGTATCTCATTGGCTCCCGTGGAGAAGGGGCAGGGCCTCGCTATATTATGAGAGTTCTTTCAAGAGGTTAATTTGAGGATTCAGAAAAGTCTTATTTTGAAGAGAACATTTTCAGTTTCTTTTGGTCTGAAAAATGTCTTCAGCTACTCACAGTACCCTTGTCTTTCTCTGGCTCTTCCACAGTGCTTTGCATATACTGATAATACTATGAGTTGATAAACAATGACTATATGCCAGGCAATGTGTAAGGCACTTTCCATATATTATCTCTAATTCTGAGAATAAACCTACAAGATCATTCTCATTTTACAGATGAGGAACCTGAGATTTGAAAAAAAATCCATTTCTCTGGTCACATAGCTAGTAAATGGCAGCACTAGAATATGAACCCTGGGCTAGTTCCTTCCAAGGCCCACTCGTTTTCTCTGACACCACAGGCCCTCCTTAGTAAATGCCGAATAAATATTTGCTGGAAGAATAAATGAACAAGCATTTATTGAATTGGGATACCTTGATAGCACTTTTTAGTTGCATCTGTGCATCTGTCTTCCATGCCTCCCACACATATTATTGGTCAAAAGGTACTTTAAATTTTTAAAGAAAGATTGATATAATTGTCTAGCCTGTTCTTATTTCATCTAGCGGATTGAGGTTGTTTTTTCTGAATTCTCTGTATCAGTATCCATGTGGCATTTTGTAGAAAGAATTTTTCAGAGGACAATAGCTGTGTCTGCTAAGTTGTCTTCTTCTTTTTTTTTTTTCTTCACAAAACCAATCAATTAAAATAGTGATAATTTATTTTGGTGTTTATCTTTAGGAAGATAAAACAACTACACAACTGACAACACCCAAGAAAAATCAAGAGGATCAGGGATGGAACCTTGGGTTCCCCAGCAGTCACCTCAGCCACAGGGGAGGTCCATAGCACCGTCAAAGGATCCAGAGGGAGGACTTTTGAGAGATGAATATCATAGACCTTCTCCTCACTCTCGATACAGTGGCGAGCGATTTCAGCAGTGGCAAGACATCCGAGGGAGCCCCCAGCCACAGCAGGACCCTAGGACAGACCACCAGCAGCTCCAGCAGCCACACAGGCCTGGGGAATGGCATCAACCTGTGTCTGGTGTTGACTGTTATGAGGGTGGTTATCCCAGGTATTCAAGGTATGGCTTTAGGGTTTGAAATGGATCCAGCTCTCCTTAATGCTTATGAGTAAATTGTTCTTTCGTTCTTCCTTTTTTTCCTCCTCTTTTTCTTTCTTCTTCACTGTAATGGGTTGAACTGTGTCCCCCCAAAATATGTGTTCTAAAATTTTAAGCTCTATGCCTGGGGTAGCGTAGTGGTTACGAGTCAGGTTAGTAACCTCCAGGTCAGCAGTTCGAAATTGCCAGCCGTTCCATGGAAGTAAGATGAGGCTTTCTTTTCCTAAAAAGATTTGTTGTTGTTGTTAAGTACCATGGAGCCCGTTCCTACTCGTAGTGACCCTGCCCAGTATTTCTGAGGCTGTAAATCTTTACAGGAGCAAAAAGCCTTGTCTTTCTCCTGCAGAATGGCTAGTAGTTTCGATCTGCCGACCTTGAGGTTAGCAGCCCGATTCGTAACCACTATGCTACCAGAGCTCATTTACAGCCTGGGAATTACTGTACAGGGTCGCTGTGAGTCCGAACCGACTCCATGGCATACCACCACCACCACGATTGGTGTTTCAATTTTCTTTTTTGTACTTTCTTCTTTCTATCTTTCTGAATTCCCAAATGCTCCAGAATTCTGTTGTACAAACTAGCAACATGTATCCTAGAATGTTCACCAATTACTATAAGATCTTTTGTTAAAGAGATTAAACTGTTACTGATGACTCTAACCAGTTACTACAGCAGAAAATCCATCTCCTTAGATTGAAGGGAACAGAAATAGAATGAAAGGAAAGAATGCTGTCTGCCTCTTGGAACTGTACAGGCAAGAAATAGGCCAAAGGAATTACATCTGCTGTCTTTCAAGAAAAGAAAAGGACCATCCCTGGAGCAGCTTGGAGATCAGCACAACTGTTGAAAGGCTCCTGGAAAGCAGGATCTTCTCAGTTTCAAAGGGTTGGACCACAGCCTCCAAGGTTTTGGAGTTGGATATTCACCAAGCGGGATGGGGCTGCTACCCAAAGTTGAGAAGGCAGAGCTGCCATGTCCAAGGGGCAGAAGAACAGGGTCTGCTGGACTGAGGAGGTGGAGTCATCACTCAGTGGAATCGGAGAATAGGTTGCCAAAAGCCAAAGGAGCAGAGTTGGCATCCCAGTTAGTCTGACAGGCAGAAGTGAAGTCTAAGACCAAGGTGTCTCTACCCAGAATCCAGAGATCATTTCTAACACCCAGAATGTGGAGGATAGGACCATTGCCTATATGTTCTGAGAGAACAGAGGATTGTTTTCAAGCCCTGAGAACTAATGTAATTTGTTCTTGCTTGGTGCTCATTATTCCTTCTTTTCCTCTAACTTCTCCCGTGTGTAATGGAAATGTCAACCTTGTGTGTGTTCCAACATTGTACTTAGAAAATTAATAGTTGTAGTTTAGATTTCACAAGGTCATACATGAGGAGGAATTTTGCCCCAGGATGGAATATGCCTACAGATTTAGGGTGGAAATTATGACAGTTACGGTAAACCATTTTGCCCCTATGAAATGCTAAAGAATGATTGTTGTTGTTGTTGTTATGTGCTGTGGAGTCGGTTCCAACTCATAGCAGCCCTGTACAGAGTTTCTGAGGCTGTAAATCTTTACAGGAGCAGAAAGACTCGTCTTTTTCTCACGGAACAGCTGGTAGTTTCGAACTGCTGACCTTGTGGTTCACAGCCCAATTCATAACCACTATGCTACCAGAGCTCCTTAAAGAATGATTAATTGATAATAATACTAATAACATCAGCTTCCTTTTCCCAGTCCTTTTTAGATTGTTGAATTCTCCAAGAGAGATATGTTAATGACAGTGGCTATGAAAGTCATCAGATTTAAGATAGTTCAACTTGATTTTTTCATCTCATTTCCATTTGTAATATGCATTGAAGTAACAATGATATATGGGGGATTTGCACAATCATCTCATGAGGGAGGGGCTTTCTAGGATAACATCAGAGCAAGGTTTTCTCCTTGTATTGTTGAATGTAATTATTATGAGTGAAAGAAGAATATGTAAGAAAAGAGAATTAGGCATTTGGTTATGGTTTTATGATGAAAAGTTTTCTCCTCTTTTAAAGGATTTTCTTTCTATATGACTGAGAATTGATTTTGGCTTTCAAACTTTGTCTATATTGGGGTCACAATTCTGTTCTGTGCATTTGTTTAGTTTGTCAAATCTGGCATTGACTTCTCCCTTAACCACACTCATCTTCAAATGAACAGCCATCTTTGTGATGTTTTAGGCCAGGCTATGAGAATCGTTACCAGAACTATCATTCTCCAACCCTGAGGGAAGAATATGCGTATGGAAGTCATTACTATTATGGACACTCACAGAGGCTACCTGGAGAAAGAGGTATGGAATAATCTCTAAGAAATCTTTGAAATTTGGGGATGGTAAAGCTGGTCAGTTAGGCAGAGTAGGTACCAAAGAGGCCATGCTCAGAGCTTCATCTTGGACAACCAACTGGGCTAAAGTAGAGGCTCTCCTTTCCTTCTTTTTTGTCCAGACGAGACCAAGGTCAGGTCACTACTCTTAGATGTTTTGGGAAGAAGAGCTAGGAAGAAGTGATCTTCTTTTACACATGTACATGATGGTACTGAAATAACTCTCATTATGCTACTAGTAATATGGACAGTTTGCACTTTCTCTACATTTCCCCTACTTCTCTTTACAGCTGAGATTATAGTATCTGATCAAGTAACAATAAAGTCAGTTTTCAAGGGCATCATTTGTGCTGCTGAGCTGCAACCAACTGAAGTATGAATCTGATTATCACTGCACTCAGAGCAGACCTCAGGCTCTGGCCCATTGGTGCTGAAGAGGCTAGTATTAAGATTTTTGGTGTGTGTTAAAGATAGCTTCTGATCTGCTAGCAAACAGAAAGTCTCTTTAAACATTGATTGAAAACACACACACATACATACACACAATCACCACCATGATACAATTGTCTACCAGTACCAGATGCCATCTCATGGCAACTCCATGTGTCAAAGTAGAACCGTGCTCTGTAGAATTTTCAATGATGAATTGTTTTGGAAGTAGATCACCAGGTCTCTCAAAAGGGATCTCTGGGTGGACTTGAACTTCCAATCTTTTATTTCAGTTAGCAGCTAAGTGCATTAACCGTTTGCACTGCCCAGAGAGCCTATACAGTTCTACGAAAGCATGCTAATAGTTTCAGAGAGGACTGAGGGATATATGAGTTAAGGCCTCCCTGGTGACATCTATTTAATTCAATTTAGTTAGCATGGTTGTTTATTTTTAATTTTGTTTTAAAATCAACTGTTCCAGTAAGTCAACATAACAACTTGCTAGTAAATTTCTGAACTTTCAGAAAGTGACCTGTCTTTATTTTGTTTTCTCTGAGGGTGCAGTTCCAAGGCAAGGGAGTCCTTATACCCAGAATGAAGATTACCGAGACCAAAAGTACTTCAATGAACAGTATCGTGAAAGTCAGAATAATTCGTTTGCAACAAATAATGAGACCCAGTTCCAGTAAGTGTAATAGGAGGGGCTGGTTTAGCCTAACTCAGCTACGTTATGGCATCTGGTGCTTGGCCCCTCAGCAAGCAGCCAGTCTGATTTTGCTCTAGCCACAGAGATACTAGACAAGAGCAGGATTACCTGTGGCAGCTGTTCGCATGGAGCTGAGAGGAAGAGACGTGTATCTTCTAGGAGCAGTTCTGGGACCTGGGCTAGTCTGCATCCTGTGAGGCCACTATTCTTTGAGTTGAAATCAGTTTGATAGGACCAAGTAGATCTGCTTCATAGGGTTTCTGACACTGTAAATCTTTATCAAAGCAGACTGCCTCATCTTAATCCTGTGGAACAACTGGTGGGTTTGAACTACTGACCTTTTGGTTATTAGACTTTAACACTTAACCCATTGCACCACAAGGGCTCCTTTAGTGCTCTAACCCACCCATTGCCACGGAGTCCATTTAGACTCATAGTGACCCCTGTATAAGGTTTCCAAGGTTGTAAATATTTACAAGAGCAGAAAGCCTCATCTTTCTCCCTTGGAACAGCTGGTGGGTTTGAACTGCCGATCTTGTGTTTAGCAGGCCAATGATTATCACAATCCTAAAGGAGGGCCTTAATTCCTCTGTTAACAACAGAACAGATGTGACTGGGTCTTGCCTAGGCTGAGGTACTTCTCCTCTGCCCACTCTTGTGCTCCAAGGATGGGATAAGACAGAACAGAGAGGAGGTTTTTGCTGCAGTATCTGCCCAAGTGGTAGCTTGGTGTGGTACTATAGGATAAGTACTGGACCACAAGGTTGGTTTGAACCACAGGTGGCAGTTCATACCCACTAGCCACTCTACAGAAACCCTACACAGCATCACTATGAGTTGGAACTGACTTGACAACACTTAACAGGAACTTTATACCCAAGTGTCCTTTCCCCTGGTGCCTTTACTCTGGAGCTCATGAATCTCAATGCTGTGATTAAAGCCATCCCAGGTTGTGGCACTGTGGGTTAATGCGCCAGACTGCAAAGCCATTTGAACTGCATGGTCAGTGGTTCAAGCTCACCAACTGCTCTTCAGAAACCCTATACAGGGTCGCTATGGGTTGGAACTGACTCAACGGCACTTCAAAACAACAACAGGTTGCTATGAGTTGGAACTGACTTGACATCACTTAACAATAACAACAGGATGCCAGACTGCTGATACCAACCCGTGTCTGCAGAGTCTGAGGCTACTTCGTTTGCTGTGCTCTGGACCACAAGGGCTTCTGGTTTTTGCTATTTATAGACTGGAGTGGGGAATGGGAGGGAAATGTGTTTCCCTGTGGCATACAGCTTGCCCTGACACCTGCTCACACTTTTAATGAGCACAGCAACCTCCAGCAGACAGCAGCACAACCTTGCTGGGATTGGCTCAGGAGCCCCTCTCACCCATTCCATTCATTTCCCCATAGATCTAAGAGTCGGAACCCTTACAGAGACAGTCCTGCTCCCAACTCTGGACAGGAGAGGCCTGGGGAAGTGTTTCCTGAGAGCCTGCTGCCTGGGGCCCAGAGGAATAAGGTAACCTGAGGTGACATGGGATTAATAACCTGTGACAGACACCAGAACTGGCATTGTCAGCAGTGGAAGGACAGGGTCCTTGGGGATGAGGGTCTCCAGTGGTCAGCAATCTGAGGGGTGTCATTCCTCCCCTTTAGACAGAACCTCTACTCACACACTTCTTCCCTTCCCTGCCTTCCTGTTTTGGCCTCATGGATCTTGGTTCCTGATCTGGCCCTTCTGTATTTTTATCAAAATGGCTGTATCAGGAAATATTGTCATGTTATTCCAAGGTTCTGGGAAAAAGGGGGAAGAGGCCACAACCAAGTGTTAGCATTTGATTCTTTTTATGGAACCCCAATAGACTAGCAATTTGTTTTACCCAGAAAGTTGGAAGTTGTTAGAATCTTTTAATTTAGGTCAGAGAGCAGGACTGGAAACCTTTCCTGATGTTTCCATCTTTCTCCTCTAAATTCTTTCTGCATGTACCAGCTGGGCCACAAAAGGAAGCTTTTAATAAATGTATCCCTTTAGAATAATTATAGATTTATGGGAAAGCGTCCAAAAAGCTACAGAGATGAACCCTTGATTTCTGACAGCCTTGTATTAATTTTGCCTCCATGACAAGATTATTATGATTTTTGAGGTGTTTAACAGGGCAGGCTACATATTATAATTACTGATGGGAACAGCAGTACAATAAGAGCAACCATGATGCATGTGCATTGCACTTTACAGTGTGCAAGGAGAAGCTGCACTCATTGTTTTACTTGTATGCTCTTTGAATGTAAGTTCCATGAAGGTGTTGTTATTGTTGTTAAGTGTTGTCAAGTCGGTTCTATATAGGGTTACCAAGGAGCGGTTGGTGAGTTTGAACCACTGATCTTGTGATCCAAACCAACCTGTGGCCCAGTGCTTTATCCCCATAGTACCATACCAGGACTCCCACTGGATCCCTGCAGTAAGGTCCAAAGCCTACAGCATAGCAGGTGCTCAGTTACTAGTTGCTGGATGAATATGTAGGTCTATGGAGGATTCCTGGTGTGACGCTATGGGCCAATGCATCAGACTGCAAAGTTGCTTGAGCTACAAGGTTGGTGGTTCAAGCTCACCATGTGCTCTTTGGAATGCTATACAGGGTATCTATAGGTCGGAATAGACTGGACAGCAGTTAACAACAAATGGAGGAGGTGGAGAGTTCTCACCTTTCAGGTGGAGGCCTGAATTCAATCTCTAGTCAATGTACCTCATGCACGGCCACTCCCACCCATTACTGGAGGCTTGTATGTTCCTATGAAACTAATCAGGTGTCAGTGGAGTTTCTAGTCTAAAAAGAACTAGAAAGGCCTGGTGATCTACTTCCAAACATCAGCTAATGACAACTCTATGGATGACAAGGACCTGATCTGCAATTGATCACGGAGAAGGCACAAGACTAGGTACTGTTTTGTTCTGTTGTACATGGAGTCACCATGAGCTGGGAGCAAACTCAATGGCAGTTAACAGCCACAGAGGGCAGGTTTGTTGTTGTTAAGTGCTATTGAGTTGGTTCTGACTCACAGTGACCCTGTATAGGGTTTCTGAGGAGCAGGTGATGGGTTTGAACTGCCAACTTCATGGCTCGAAGTCCATTGCTGATCCTACAGTGCCACACCAGGAGTCCTGATGAGTATATACATTAAAGAGAGTATTATGCTCAGTGCTTTGTTCACGGTCACAGCTGTGAGTTATTGACAAAGCTGAGAGTTGAATTCAGGCCTCCTGACTCTGAGAACTACACTATGTCCACTAGACTATAATGTATCTCTCAGTAAATTCTTGGCCTTTGAACACATTCATTTGAAAATATGAATCTTGTGTATTTTGAGGACCATGTGTAAGGACCGTCTCTCTAAAACTAATTCTGATTCTTGCTATGTGTTTTCATTGTACCTTTCAGCCATCATTGACCAGCAAGTCCAACCTTCTTCAACAGCATGAGTCTGGTCTCAGCTCCAGCGGCTATGAGCTCAGTCAGTACATGACAGAAGCTTCTGAGCAGTATGATCCTATGGCATCAGCAGCTTGGAGTCCCCTTCAGGCTGGTGGGTCCGAAGCCATCAAAGGATTTAGTTAAGTCTAATGAGGAAAGAACTGGGTGGCGAGTTTCTTAGAAAATCAGCCTTAGGTCATGTTTCCAGGAACAGATCTTTGTTTGCCTCTCTTGCTTCTGTAGTCTCCTTGGCAGAAAGACCAACAGGATGGCTCCATTTCCAACATTTCCCTTGTACAGGCCATTGCACCATCACTGATTCTTGGAAGGGAACACTGTCTCTAACCACGATCAGGCTGCAGAGGAGGCACTCAGAGGTGCTTTGTTGTTGTTGTTAAGTGCTGTCAAGTTTGGTGCCAACCCATAGTGACCCTGTATAGGGTTTCCAAGGAGATGCTTTAAGTAATGGGTAAAGAAAATGAAGACTGGAGAGAATTAGGTAAAGGCAGGATAAAATTGCTTGGTCTGGATATAGAAAACTTCTCATGAGTAGAGACTGTGAGAACCAGGGAGTCTACCAGAGCCAGTGAACTCTGAGAGTCTCACTGTCATTGGGAAAAACTAGGCTTCAATGGAGAGTTATCATTTGGATCACATCATCAAATCCTTGTATTATGATCTGATGTATACTCAGAGCCTTAAAACTGACTTGGAACATGAGCTTTCTGTAGTCTTGTCCCCATCCACAATCTTGACGTTGTCTTAGGTGGAATTTGGACAGAAATATGTTTCTAAACTAATGAAGCAGTGGCAGTAATGCTAATGGTGTTCATATGTGTCTATTGGTCAGAAGGTGTCTCACAAGCTGGCCCCATGAAGTTCTACGTCCCTCATGTGTCTGTAAGTTTTGGACCAGGAGGTCAGCTGGTGTGTGTGTGTTCCAGGTCTCCCACTGATGGGCAAACAATGCTTGTGGAACTGCATAGCATGGAGGTAAACAAGATCCTGTACCCCCAAAATGTCAGCATGTGGCTTACTCAACTACTATTAACATACTTCCTTTCCCAGACTTTTCCAAGAATGGGGCACTTTGATGGGGGAACTGAACTATGCGTTCCCTGAGTTGGGGGGTGCAGAAAGTAGGGGTGACTCTTTTCTGGAAATAGTAATGCCGAGATAAAGCAGTTTGTCCTGAGATGATATTGTCTCTTCTTCAGCAACAAGATGACACTGATCACATCCTAGAACCATGGCCTAGGGTTCTAATGCTGGACTTGACCAAAAGGGGCACTGGGTGGACACAATTGGAAGACCAAATATGCTCTTTTTGTTCCAGATTATTCTTGGTGACTCTGAGGAACAAGAAGAGATGAGAACTTTCTTAGGACCCCTGATCAGGTACTTTATCGCAAAAGCTGCTACGGAGTGATGCCTGAGATGAAGGCAGAGACGATGATGTGGAGAGAGATGGAGCAACTGGGGACTTTAGACCCAGAGAGGGACAGGGGCTGTGTACTGGTGATGGGGAAGGGGTAAGGGGGGCAGGCTTGTAGGATATACCTCTTGGTTGGTTGATGATGCATGGAGGGTATTATAACCATGGCAATGAAACAATATACAATAGGATGAATGTAAAACTAGTGTTCTCCCATATAAACTATCATATAATTCACAATAAAACATTAAAAATAAAAAAAACTGCTGGGAAAGCATCTTGAAAGTTGGAAATTTTCTGTGCTACAATACAGAGTCAAATGTGGACAGAACCACGTTCAGTTGAAAAGCAGAAAGAAAAATTAAGAGTTTTAAAAAATCTAAAATCAGCTTCATTTTGCAAAATTACATAGTACAAAGCTTAAGTGTTCAGTGTGATTAATAGATATTCGTAGGAAAACAGAGCACAACTTTGGAAATTATAGACAAGGGGGTAATAGGGAACATTCTTGCAGCAGTGGGCTCTTTTTGGAGAGGAGGTTGGCAACAGAATTATTGGGGTTACTGAACAGTGTCCAAGTCTGCCCTCTGCAGGACTGAACTAGAACTGCTTTCAAATTCCTTGTAATGCTTTTAATAAATACATTCAGGATGCACTCTGGTGGTACAGTGATTCAGTGCTTGAGCCCACCAACTGTGCTGTAGGAGAAAGATGTAGCTGTCTGGTTCTGACCTGATTTGCAGTGTCTGAAATCCTACAGGGAAGTTCTACTCTGCCCTACAGGACCTCTATATTGGAATTGATTTGGCAGCAATGAGTTTTGGGTTTTTGTTGTGGAGAGTCCTGGCTGGATGTTCAAGAACCTGGTTCCCAAGCCCAGGCGTCCCAATGAGTCCATGTGGGTAGGGCCAGTTAGCTTTCTCTGAACCTCAGCTTCTTCTTATGAGAAAAGATGTAAAGGCCACTCTGCCTCCTTCAAGTGGTGGCTGTGAGACTCGGGTGCGATCAAACTCTTTATAGCTCGTCCCTACTCCTTAAATCTAGTGCAATTCTGAAGCTCTCCCTCCAACAATATCCTCATATAGTATTCTCACAGCTCTTTTCATTAAAAATGATTGTTGCCTCTATTCCTTTTGGTGATACAGATGTGGGGTAGACCACTGAGTTGGGTCCTAGAACACTCAGTTACTGGTTTCAGTTTGACTTTGGCTTTATTGACTGATCGGGAGCAAATGATATGCCTATTTATTGAGCACTTAACATATATTTATTTATTTACTATTATTATTTTAAAATAAGTTTTTATTGTGAATTGAGTGATAGTTTACATGGGAGAACATCAACTTTACATTCATTTTTATATTGCAGTGATTTATATTATATTGTATATTATATTATATTGCATGAGTCATCAAACATCATTTGCTTCTAATCCCTGTTTTTCTGTTTGTTTTTTTTAATATACACCAAAACACCCAGGAACACACAACCATTCAAACAACCAAAGGGTACATACTGTATGCCTGCCTCCAGGCCGCCAGCACACAGCCCCCTCCCTCCCTGAGTCTAGAGTCCCCAGCCGCTCCACCTCTCCATGTCATTGTCTCTGTCTCCATCTCTGGCATCATTGCTTCTCTGGATAGGGTCCCGCACTCCACTCTTGTCCCTTGATGGTCCCAGGGTCCTCCACTCCTGGACTGCAAGATCAACCACTCTCCTCCTTTTGTTACAAAACGTCTACCTTTACATTTGCAACAATCACAATCAGTCCTGATAACAATTATTCACTATTGAACCACAAGAGTCTTATCGCCATCTCCTTTCACCAGCCCCGTCTAGACAGGTTGGAAACCATTCAGTTGAGCAGTTAATATTTGCCACACATTTTTGTAATTCTTCTTTGTATAGAGTAGATGTTTCATTATCCCTGTTTCAGGGGAAAAAGTGAGATTTTGAGGAAATAAATAATTTGTCTAAGGTGAAAAATGGCAGAACCAAATTCAAACCTAGGGCTGTGTGACTCCAAAGTTGCTCTCCTAATTGCCACCCTACATAGTCATGTCAGGTCTCGGGGCCTCCGTTTCCTTATCTGCAAAATAGATGAGATGTAGAAGGTAATCTATGCTGTCCTTTCCTGTTGTACAGACTCAGTACCTCAGCATGGGGGTGTCAGGCTTCCTTCTAAATCCCAGCCCAGCCAGTGGGCTCCACATTGGAGTCCTGGATACGCCTGCCACTCACTTTTTGCTCCCTGAAATCTCCCATAGGGAAGATGTACACAAGGTGGATATCATGACGTTTTGCCAGCAGAAAGCAGCTCAGAGCCGAAAATCAGAGACACCAAGGAGCCGAGACTCAGCTCTGCTGTGGCAACTGTTGGTTCTCCTTTGTCGACAGAATGGGGTGAGTGTTACCACTCTGATGTGGGTTTGTTGTTGTTGTTGTGTGCTATAGGCGGGGGTAAATTGGATTGAGATTTAAGTATTTTGGGGATGGATAAAGAGTAAGCCTATGATCATGAATGCAATATTAAAGAAGGGAACAATTGCCCCAGGGTAAAAATGTGCCTCAAATGTCACCACTTAGTTTACTAATGATCTTGGCTCTGCTGCTTCTCTGCCTTGACTGGGGCCTACCACCCAGTTCTGTGCTATTATACCAGCCAGGCAACATACCTATGAAATCATGAATATTTTGGGGAAATTTTGTGGCTCCTGACAGGGTGAAAATAACCATGATAGTGAAGCAGAATTTTGAAATACAGAAATCCAAAGAAGGACTGCTTTGTATTTGTGTTTGTGTGACTGGCCTCTGGCTGCTAGCAAAGGCACTAAGAGGGTTCCCACTCAGATAAGCCTCTTTGCCTTGCAGTCCATGGTGGGGTCTGACATAGCTGAGCTGCTGATGCAAGACTGCAAGAAGCTGGAGAAGTACAAGAGCCAGCCCCCCGTGGCCAACCTCATCAATCTGACAGATGAGGACTGGCCAGTGCTGAGCGCAGGGACCCCAAACCTGCTCACTGGGGAGGTCCCCCCAAGTGTGGAGACACCTGCGCAGGTTGTGGAGAAATTCACCAAACTACTCTACTATGGAAGGAAGAAGGCAAGTATGCCCTGCCTCATGCTGCTTTTACACTTGTAGAAAAAAAAGTAACCACCATTTTCCCCCAGGCCTCCCTTATCCCCCAGTTATATGAGTAACACACAGTCATTCTAGAGTATTTGGGAATTAAAGAAAGGTAGAAAAAAGAAAAGTACAAAAAAGAAAATAAAAACACCAGTGGTGGTGGTGGTGTGTAAATCTTTACGGGAGCAGAAAGCCTCATCTTTTTCCCACAGAACGGCTGGTAGTTTTGAGCTGTAGATTTTAAGGTTAGCAGCCCGACTCCTAACCGCCATGCTAATAGCCTTACTATTAAAAGATCACTAGTTTTTGTGTGAATAGCCATTTTCAGTTCTTCCGTTACGCAATGAGCCTCATTTAGAAATGGGTTGTCTGTGTAGGTATGTTTTGAGTCAATCTCATAAAAAAAGATGAAAAAAGCGAACATTGATGTGCATATGTTTACTCGCATTCTTGTATTTTTTATGGATATGTACCAAGTAGAGGAATTGCTGGATCATAAGGTATATCTATTTCCAACTTTCTGAGGAAATGCCAGACCATTTTGCAGAGTGGTTAAACCATTTTACAGTCCCACCAGCCATGCAGGAGGGTCCCAGGCTCTCCACACCTTCGCCAGCATTTGTTGTCCTCTGCTTTTTAAAACATTTTCACCCTGCTAAGTCTTTCTATCTATAAGCATGGTATATTCTTCCATTTTTGTAAATCTCTTTTGGTTTCTTATACTAGTGTTTTGTAATTTTCTTTGTATAGGTCTTAGGCTACTCTGGTTAGATTTATTCCTAAATATTTCACCTTTGGGGGACTGTTGTAAGTAGTATTGTTTTCCTAATTTCCTTTTTCAAGTTGTCTTTATTAGTATAGAGGAATTCAACTGATTTCTGTATGTTGCTCATGTACTCTGCCACTTTGCTGAATTTTCCAATGAGTTACAGTAATTTTTTTTCTTAATCTTTGGAATTTTCTATGTATAGGATCATATTGTCTGCAAATAGAGAGAGTTTTACTTCTTCTTTGCCAATTTGAATGTCTTTAATTTCCCTTTTTGCCTTGTAGTTAGTTATGGCTAAGACTTCCAACACAATATTGAATAGAAGTGGTGATAAAAGGCATCCTTGTCTCATACCTAAGAGTTGTCACTTTTCTATGGCTACACAGTGTTCTGTGGAAAAATTATAACTTTAACTAAGCTCCTATAGGAATCCCAATGTGGCACTGTAGGATGAGCACTGGACTAGTAACCACAAGGTCGGTGGTTCAAACCCACCAGCCATTCCTCAAAAATCCTATACAGGGTCTCTGAATTGGAACCAACTCAATGGCACTTGATAACAACAATAACAACCCCTATAGGTTGATATTTAGATTGTCCAATTTTTTGCTATCGTCATTTTTTCCAGTGTGAGAGAATATATACAAGGAGACTTTAAAAAAAGTTAGTGGAAAAATCGAATTAAAAGATAAAAAGAAAAAACAAATTTTATTTTTCAACATAAGCTCCATCAAAGTCAAGACTCTTGTAATAGATGATTCCAGTTATTTAGTCCATCCCTAAAGAACTGTGAGTCTTGGGAATGCGACCATGTTAGTGCAATCTTCTTTGCATTATTAAGTGAAGAAAAATGAGTTCTCTTTGAAGATTTTTAAGATTAGGAAACAAAAAGAAGTGAAGGAGTGAAATCAGGACTGTAAGGTGAATGGCTAGTGTGTTCCCATAGAAACTCTTGCAAACATTGCCGTTGTCTGATGAAGGGAATGAACTGGAGCAGTCCTGTGGAGAAGAACTCTTTGGTGAAGTTTTCCTGTGAAAGCTTTAGTTCACTTTCTCAAAACACTCTAATAACAATCAGGTGCTATCATTTTTTTGGCCCTCCAGAAAATATCCATACACCTACAAGGACAATTCCAACCCACCAGCTTCTCCTTGGAAACCCTATACACGGTCATAATGAGTCGGAACCAACTCAATGGCACTTACCAACAACACAACAACAGAAAGTCAACTCAAGATGCCATAGTAGCCCCCCAAACTGTTGCCATGAGCTTTGCTCTTAACTGATCTGCTTTGTTTTGACCAGACTCTTTTCATCTCTGGGTAGTCATTGCTTTGATTATGCTTTGTCTTCAGGATCATACTTTGCCATGTTTCATCTCCTGTTACGACTTTTCCAAGAAATACTTCAGGATCTTGATCCCACTTGTTTAAAATTTCCATTGACAGCTCTGCTTTTGTCTGCAGTGTATTTGGGTGCAACGGTTTTGGTACTCATGGCATTGGAAGTTTGCTCAATTTGAATTTTCCAATCAGAATTGTGTAAACGGAACCAATTGAGATAGCTACCTGTGGTGCTGATGATTGTTTCTGTTGTGAATTGTTGGTCCTATTCAATTAAGACATGAACAGAACTAGTTGTTTCCTAATAAATGGATGTGGATGGTCGGGTCCTGTGGGCTTCATCTTCAATATCATCTTGTGCCTTATTAAAACGAGTTATCCATTTGTAAACTGCTGATTCCTTTGCAGCATTTTCCTCGTAAACTTTTTGTAAAGCCTCAGTGATTTTACCATTCTGCCACCCAAGCCTTACCATAAATTTGATGTATGTTCTTGCTTCAATTTTAAGAGAATTCATGTTGCTTGGATAGGGGCTTTTTTTCAGACTAATGTCTTATCCTTTGTTAGTGTGAGTTTATTTTGGTTCAAAAACGTTTTGAAATACATGCATAGTTTTTCCATAATATGTCTTTTTTTTTTTTTTTTTTTTAAGGTTTTTATTGTGGATTGAGTGAAAGTTTACAGGGCACATCATCAGT